GTAGAATACTTGCTGGGTGAAAAAAAAAAAAAAATGCCTATAATCACAGTACCAGGGAGGCTAATGTAGGAATACCATGAATTTGAGGCTCCATAATGAGACCACCTCAAAAAAAAAAAAAAAAAAAAAAAAAGATTATCTTACCTACAACCAAATCATTCCACTCTAAAGTATTTTCTCAAGGAAAATAAAAATGGATATGCACATAAACACCTGTGCATGAATACTTATAGCAGTTTTATTTATAGTTGTCAAAATCTAGAAAAAAACAAATGTTTTTGAACAGATAAATGGGAAAATCAACAGTATTCAGAAATAAAAGCAAATGTAGGTAAATCTCAAATAATTATACTGTATGAAAGAAGCTAGACCAGGGGCTGGGAAGGTGGCTCAGTGGTAGAGTGCTTGCCTGCATGCATGAGGCCCTGGGTTCGATTCCTCAGTACCACATAAGCAGAAAAAACCAGAAGTGGCACTGTGGCTCAAGTGGTAGAATGCTATCTTTAGCTGAAGAGCTGAGAGGCAGCGCCCAGACCCAGAGTTCAGGCCCCATGACTCCCAAGAAAAGAAAAGAAGCTAGACAAAAAAACATATACTTAAGATACCATCTATGTAAAATTCTAGAAAATGTGAATTTATCTATAGGGATAAAAAGCAAGTCAGTAGTTCCCAAGACACAAGAGCAAGAGTAGAGAAGAATGGATCAGAAAGGGTATTATAGAACTATTAGGGATGACAGATAGGTTCAAATATTGAGCATAACTTTGGTAATAAATTCTCATAGCTGTCCAAACTCATCAAATTGAATACTTCAAATGTATAATTTACTACATATAATTACATCTCAGTTAAAAGGTAAAAAGAAGTAAAAACTCCAGGCCCAGAAGGATTTGCTACATATATTATAGAAGAAACAATACAGAGTCTACACTATTTTCCCCCCAGGAAAAAGAAGCAGAGAGAATGTTCTCTATATTACTTTATGAGGTTGGCATTACCTAGACCACCCAAACTAAAGACATTAAAAAAAGAGAGAAACAATTATGGAATATTTTTAAATAGTGTCTTTCTGGTATGGTATGATTAAACTAAAATATATGACATAAATAAACCACAACAGATAGCACAGCAGAGTATTTATGTGATAACACTGGCAATAGAATGAGTGTGTGTAATAATGCTGAAAATAGAGATTTGGGGTCAGTTTACTTTATTCTTTATAATTCTCTCTCTCTCTTTTGGTTTGAGACAGGTTGTTATACTATGTAGCCCAGGCTGGCTTCAAATTTGCAGTTTTCTTTGCCTCAGTCTCCTATTAGGAAGACAGATGTGTCCATCATGTCTCACTTATACTGTCATCATTTCCATTTGTATGAGTAGAAATAGCACATGAATACAATAAAGCTACCTTCATTTTGATTATAAATATTCCCCAATCAAGAGACTTGAAAAATGTCAAGATCAGAGCCAAGGTCAGATGACTAAAGAAGTAAAAAAAACTTGGCACTACTGCTCCTCTGGTTACTGATCTTAAATCAGCTTCCTGCTATCAACATCAAGGAATAAAATAAAGTTCATCTCAAACCAGCATACCTTCCTCTGCTGCATGCTAACTCTTTGCAATCATAAAGTTCAAATGACCAAACCAATCAGCGTGATGGTGTAAGGAAACTTTAGCTGTATGTATATAATATAATAAAGGGTGATGCAGGGCTGGGAATGTGGCTTAGTGGTAGGGTGCTTGCTTAGCATGCATGAAGCCCTGGGTTCAATTCCTCAGCACTACAACAGAAACTACACTAAAACAGAAAAAGCTGGAAGTGGTGCTGTGTCACAAGTGGTAGAGTGCCAGACTTGAGCAAAAAGAAGCTCATAAACAGTGCCCAGGCCTGAGTTCAAGCCATAGGATTGGCCAAAATAAATAAATAAATAAAGGGAGGGGGGTGGTGCAGGAAGTTACAGATATAGTTCAGTGGTAGACTATTCACAGTCCTCATACAGATCTTTGTTTGAACCCCAGCAAAACACAAACATACACACACACACACACACACACACACACAAACAATGTAAAACAAAAGCAGCCTCAGTCTGGCACAAATTCAAAGTAGTTGTCATTCCTCTTTTTTAAAAAAAGTTAGGCCTGGGCTGGGAAGGTGGCTCAGTGGTAGAGCGCTTGCCTTGCATGCATGAGGCCCTGGGTTCGATTCCTCAGTACCACATAAGCAAAAAGGAAGTGGCGCTGTGGCTCAAGTGGTAGAGTGCTAGCCTTGAGCTGAAGAGCTGAGGGACAGCACCCAGGCCCAGAGTTCAGGCCCCACAACCGGACCAAAAAAAAAAAAAAAAAGTCAGGCCTGTGACCCTAGCTACTCAAAGGCTGAGATCTGAGGATCACAGTTCAAAGCCAGCCCATGGAGGAAAGTCAATAAGACTCTTATCTCCAATGAACTACTTAGAAAAAGCCAGAAGTGGTACTGTTGCTCAAGTAGAATGCTAGCCTCGACTACAAAGAGGCTCAGGGACAGTGCCCATGCCCTGAATGCAAGCCCCAGGAGGTCATGAGGCTCTGTCCTTAGAATAGACTACTTCTTACCACTTCAAGAATGAACCAAAATTTTATTTTTATTCGCATGCCCTAGATTTCTAGAAAAAATAAATCTCTTCCTACCTGAGGAGCTTTGGATTCTAACTCAAATTTAAAGCTCCTCTCCTAGAAATCACCTACCTTATTGCCTACCTTGTCAGAGGGGCAGGAGGCCCACCAAGTATTATAGTCAACACTCCTCTGGCTGTCTTCCCTCTTGGCCTCCATGATTTGTTTTCTTAACCACCTATCTCGTACCTTGCACCAACATACATCTTTCCTGTTTCTCTCTTCATTTATTTAAATATATCTTTTTCTTTTTCTTAATTTAATTTAATTTTATTTGTGAACATACTGTACAGAGGGGTTACAATTACATGGGCAGGATAATGCGTACATTTCTTACCAAGCTAAATATATCTTTTTCTTATTGCTCACTCATCTGTGAAACCTCTCCATCAACTCAATTCACAAAGGATTTTTCTTTTTCTCATATTCTGGAGTATGCACACATCCAATTTCCCAGCTATACTTCACAGCCCTCATTTTTTCAAGAAATATAAAGCAGCTACTATAAGCCACTGCTCTAGGCTCTAGGGATATTAGTGGTAAACCAGAAAGACAAGATCCTTGCTATTATGGAGCTTTTTTCTAATGTGCAAAGACACATTAAAAAATCTAATATTTCACCTAGTGATAAACATTGGGGAGAGGGGATGTAACACAGGAAAACACAGAACTAGGAAATGATGAAACGGGATGGATATACTTGTGAATAGTAGAGGCAGTAAATGTTTTCTTTGTTTGGTCAGTCATGCGACTTAAACATAGGGTCTGAGTGCTGTCCCTGAGCCTTATGGCTCAAGGCTAGTGCTCTACCACTTTGAGTCACAACACCATTTCCAGTTTTCTGGGGATTAACTGGAGATAAGAACCTCACAGACTTTCCTGACCAGGCTGGCTTTGAACAACAAACCTCAGATCTCAGTCTCCTGAGTAGCTAAGATTACAGCTGTAAGCCACCAGCACCCGGCTTTATTCTAACTTAAGGGAACATTTAATGCTGGGCACCAGTGGCTCATGCCTGTAATCCTAGCTCCTCAGGAGGCTGAGATCTGGGGATCGTGGTTCAAAGCCAGTCCAGGCAGGAAAATCATCATGAGACTCTTATCTCCAATAAGCTACTCAAAAACTGCAAGTGGTGGAAGTGGCGCTGTGGCTCAAGTGGTAGAACACTCGCCTTGAGCTGAAGAGCTGAGGGACAGTTCTTAGGCCCCATGACCGACAAAAAAAAAAAAATCATTTCTATAAGCTGGGCACCTGTGGCTCACACTTGTAATCCTAGCTACTCAGGAGGCTGAGATCTGAGAATCTCGGTTCAAAGCCAGCCAGGGCAGGAAAGACTGTAAGACTCCTATCTCCAATAAACCACTAGAAAACTGGAAGTGGCACTGTAGCTCAAGTGGTAGAGCGCTGGCCTTGAGCTAAAGAGCTGAGAGACAGCGCCCAGGCCCAGAGTTCAAGCCCCATGACTGACAAAAAAAAAAAAAAACACCTGCAAGTGGTGCTATAGCTCAAAGGAGTAGAGCACTCACCTTGAGCAAAACTGCTCAGGGACAGAGCCCAGGCCCTGAGTTCAAGCCCCACAACGGACAAAAAAAAAAGAATAAGCTGGGTGCTGATGCCTCATACCTGTCATTCTAGCTACTCTGGAAGCTGAGATCTGAGGATCATGGTTTGAATCCAGCCTGGCTGAAAAGTTCATTAGCCTCTTTATCTCCAATTAACCACCCCTCAAAAAAACTAGAAGTGGAGCCGGGAATCAAGCCACTTCCAATTTTCTAGTGGTTTATTGGAGGTGAGTCTTACGGAGTTTCCTGCCCAGGCTGGCTTGGACTGTGATCCTCAGATCTCAGCCTCCTGAGTAGCTAGGATTACAGGCAAGAGTCACGGGCGCCCGGCTAAGGGAATAGAGGGGCATATCTTCCCCTGGCCCCTTCCTGTCTGTCTTTCTGCTTCCTGGCTGCCATGAGCTGAGCAACTCTGCTCCAATACAGTTTCAATCATTAATATACTGCCTCACCACAGGCCCAGAAACAATAAAACTAGTCTGGCACAGACTGAAAATGAGAACCAAAATAAATCCTTCCTCCTTTAAACTGTTTTTCCCAGATATCTGTTTCAATTATGAATAACAGGGGAAGGGAAAAAAAAAAGATCTCAAAGAGGTAAGAAGGGGCTTAGACTCTGAGTGAGCTAGTTGATACCTCCTAATATTTCAAGGGCAGGCATTCAATAATTCATTTGGCATGTTTGAAAATGCCCCGTTACTTGCTACTAGATAATGTCAATATTCCATTCATTCACTCAATAAACACTTCTTTAGCAATATCATCCAGCACCAGGAACTGCTTACCCCTTTAATAAAGGTGGGTTTGTCCTTTATGCCAAAGTTCCAGAGCATGATATCTCCTCCTTTGGAGCCTACAGCCAGGGTGCTGGGATGAGTCGGGTGCCATGCCAAGGATGTAACCCTCCTGTCAAAGGGGGCAGCTTTTTGGAATATCCGGTAAGAAGCAAGAGAATGCAAAAAGGATTTCTGAAGACCCTGCCACACAGAAAAAGAACTAAGTTGAATTAGTTGCTTTAAAACTCAAGTTCTATTTAAAAAAAAACAAAACAAAACAAAAACTAAAAATCTCAAGTCCTAGCCTGGAGCTCAATGCCAATAATCTAGAGGATTGTAGTTCGAAGCCTGGGCAGAAAAGCCCATGAGACTCTTCTTATCTCCAATAAATAACCACAAAGCTAGAGGTGGAGGTATGGCTCAAGTGGTAGAGCACTAGCCTTGAGCACAAAAGCATCCAGACCCTGAGTTCAAGCTCCAGAACCAGCACCAGAAAAAAAGAGTAAGGTTACAGGTGAGGTTCAAGTGGTAGAACATCAACTGTGAGCTTAATGAGAGCAAGCTTCCCTGCATTCAAACCCCAGTATCACCAAAAATAAACTCATAAATAAAACTCAAATCCTTGATAACTGCCAATCTCAGGCTCCTTCACAGATAGGCCCTAGGGTCAAGTCCTTCTATCAAAAAAAAGCTAACTAGAGTTGTGCATGAATTATCTACAATATACATGAACTAATTTGGAACACAAGGGGGTAGAGTACATTCCATCAGAAAAGTTTTTCTCCTTGGTTGAGTGCTCAGTATGCCAGGCACATGGTTGAAGTGATCTAACCACTCTGCCAACTTGAACCAACTATCTTCTAGGTTCAGAGCATCAAATAGTTGAAAAACCATACAAACCTTTGAACTTCAATCAGGAACTTCCTCACCTGTTGTAGTGATGGCCAGGCAGCTTCATCCAACCTATGCTGGTAGAGATCCCTGACAATGCTGCTGCACGATGGTGGGACCTGCAGGCTGCTGCACGATGGTGGGACTTGCAGGCTAGCCAAACCTTCCCAAAGGCAGTCTGACTCACATCTCCTGCTACAACCTGCCAAGAAGAACAGACACATATTTTCCTCTCCAATCACAGAAAGGTTTTCGGCTGAAATTACATAAAGACAGCCTTGCTGTTTCATTCAGCATAGTCAGTCTGTCCCATCACCTCCTAAAAGCCTTTCCACAGTCTGTTTAGTCTCACTCAGCACAAGAAAGAAATAATGAGTACAGACTTCCCTTCCCCCAAACACTCCTCTAAAGTATGATATTGCAGTATTCCTGAAAGCTGGGCCAAAGAAATAAACAAGAAGAAAGTATACTGCAGACTTTCCAGTGTGGGATGGAAAACTGGAGTTGGGAATTTTAAAATCACAGATAATACATAGTAAGATTTTAGGACAGCATGGTATAATTGTTTTAAGAAAAAAAAGTATGTTTCAATTCTACATTAAAATAAAGTAGCAGTAGGGAGGCTGGGTATAATCCCAGTACTTAAGAGGCTGAGCAAGTAGGACCACCAGAGTTTTAAAATCATCTGGGCCACACAGCAAGACCTTGTCTCAAAATAAAAAAATAAAATAAAGCTGATCTCATGTCTGTGGCTGCTGTCTGTAATCTAGCTACCCAGGAGGCTGAGATCTGAGAATTATATTTAGAAACTAGAAGGTAAGGTCTGCCCTGCCCCCCCCCCCTCAATAAAAAGCTACACTTGGAGCTATGGCTCAAAACGTTGAGTTGCCAGCCTAGAGTGAAAAAGCTAAGGGTCAGTGCCAAAGACCCGAATTCACACTCAGTACCAGCTTAAAAGTAATCAAGTACTTTCCAACAGTCATTCCAAGTCCTATGGATTTTTCCAGAAGCCAGCCTGACTCAGCTCTAAGCAGGTTACTTCTGGAGAAGTAAATAAATTTTATAAGAATAAAGAAAGTGCGGAACATCAAGATGTACTGGTGGTACCAATTTTCAGAATCTTTTTGGACAACTAATTCTTCTCATGGACTAAACAATCCACTCTACCCCAACTCGCAGCCCCGAGTTCAAGTACTGAACACGCGAATAAGGAGGGGGAGAAGCTGGAATCCTCATATCTGAAAGCACCAAGGACAAATAGCTAACAATCGGCCTGTGGGTATTTAGCATCCAAGTTGAGGGAAGTCTAGGGGTTTAAAACAAACAAAAAATCCTGAGGCAGTAGTGGGGGGGGGGGGGGGCACGAGGCTCAGGCCTGTAAAATCCTCGCTACTCAAGAGACTGAGATCTGAGGATCTGGTTCGAAGCCAGCCTGGGCAGGAAAGTCCGGAAATGGAGCTATGGCTCAAGTGGTAGAGCACTAGCCTTGAGCAGAAAAGGCCCAGGGCCCGTGTACACACCTATTAACACCCCCCCCCCCAAAAAAAAATAATCCTGAGACAAACTAGGTACGTGGAGTCCGTGGCTGTGAAAACGGAGCCCTCAAGCTTCTCCTGGTCACCTGGGATGGGAGCTGTTAAGCCTAAACTCAGGTGTTAACGGCCCGCCCTGTAGGCCAACAACTACAGCCTGCAGCGTGGGCGCCCGGGAAGTGGGCCCGCCGTCCCATTTCCGGGCCGCGGCGGGGGCCCCTCAACGGCGGGAACCACTGATAACGCGGCCGACACGCGCAGTACCCGGGCCCTTCACGCGGAGCTTCTTGGCCTCGGGCTCCAGTTCCAGGAGACTTCTGCTCCCGAGGCACACGACCTCCGAGGTTTTCTTGGTTTCTGGACGTATCTTGGTAGCCATGGCCTACTCGGGTGCGAAGGAGTTGCTAACGTCTCACGCCGATTCCAAGCGTCAGCGGAGAGAACAGGGAGGCGGGAGGGGGGGGCCACTCGCACTGCCACACGCAGCGCGCAGCGAAGCCAACTTCCCGCCAAACACGCTCAGCGCGGCGTTTGGGCTCCGCCCCCGCACGGAGGCCCCGCCCCTTCCTGGTGAGAAGGGCGGGCGGAGGCGGGGCGGGCGTGAGGGGGCGGGGCGGGCGTGAGGGGGCGGGCCGGGCCTGCGGAGAGGCGTGCTGCGCCGGGGGAGGGGCTGCCTGCTCCCTGGCCGTGTGGAGCTGTAGATGTGCTTGGGGGAGAACTGAGGTTGTCGCCTACTTGCCGGGCCTGACGTGACAAAACCTGATCGCTCGTGTCCTGACACGGGCGAAGATATGAAGATTGCCCAAACGCCGAGGAGGGCCGGATATCTCTCCATTTCGGTGGACATAAATACGTGCATCTGCTTTGGCTTTGCTCCCTCCTTCCTCTCACGGGACAGATGGGCATTGTTGTTGTGTGTTGGGGGGGCGCATTGCGTTTTAATTTTGTGCAGCCATTAGGGCTGGAACTCGGGCCTTGGTGCTTGCTCGGCTTTATTTGCTCATGGCTGGCGTTGAGCCACACCCCCAGTTCTGCTCCCCCTCCCCGCTTTTCTTCTGGTTAATTGGAGATAGGAGTTTTACAGGCTTTTCTGCCCACTCGGACTTTGAACTGAGGTCCTCCAGGTCTCATCCTCCTGAGTAGCTAGGATTACAGCTGTGAGCCCACCCGTGTCCAGCTGATAGGTTTTCTTAAAGACACTGCTAGAGAAACCTATTGTGGTGGTGGCTGCCTGTCATCTCGGACTCAGGAGGCTGAAGCAGCAGGATCATGGGTCTTAGGCCAGTCTGGACTATATAGGCCCTGTCTCAAACCGATGTCATAGGGCTGGGAAGGTGGCTCAGTGGTAGAGTGCTTGCTTCGCACGTATGGAGCCCTGGGTTCTATTCCTCAGCACCACATAAGCAGAAAAAAGCTGTCAGTGCTGCTGTGGCTCAAGTGGTAGAGCACTAGCCTTGAGCTGAAAAGCTGAGGGATAGCTCCCATGCCCAGAGTTCAGGCCCCATGACTGACAAACAAAAAGGATATCATAGGAGTTCTTTTGTGCTTATTGCCAAAGAGATGCCTGTAGATAATGTACTGTATATTTTTAGAAAAATTTTTAATGCATTCACCAGAAGTGAAATTTGAGAAGATATGCTTAACCCAATTTAAACAATACACAATACGTACATATATGAAAACATCAGATGGTACCCCATAAATACCATTTTTATATTTTTATACGTCAGTTTAAATTTATTAGTTTAAAAAATAAGCTGATTTCTCAGCAACTTGGAAGGCAGAGTGTTTGAGGTCAGACTGGCAAAAAATTAGTGGAAATCCTCAGAGAACAAGCTAGAGGTTATCCTAATGGTGAACATTTTTTTTTTTAACATTTTTTTGTCCTTTCTTTGTTGGTACTGGTGATTGAACCCAGGTCATTGTTCCTGTTAGGCAAGTACTTTGTCTCTGAGCTACATCCCAGCCCTATGGTGAACATCTTTAATCCCAGGTACAAGGGAGGTAGAGGCGAAATTATGAGACCCTATCTGAAAAGATTAAAATAATAAAACAGTGGCCAGGAGCCAATCAATGTCTCATGGCTGCTGAGGAGGTTGAGCTGTGAGGGTCACCATTCCAAACCAGTCCAGACAGGAAAGTCAATAAGATTTTTCTCTTCAATTAACCACCAAAAAGCTGAAAGTGGCTCAATTTGTAGAGCATCAGCCTTGAGCAGAAAAGCTCAGGGATAGCACTCAGGCCCTGAGTTCAAGCCCCAGTACCAGTAAATAAATAAATAAATAATTTTAAAAATAGCGAGAGAGGACCTCCTTAGCAAATGTTCGAATCTTAGTAATACCCAAACATAAAAATGAAAAAGTAAAATAAAGTAATGTAAAATTTTAAAATAGTGTAAGAAAAGATAATCTACGTTCTTTTTTTTTTTTGGGGGGGGGTTGGTCATGGGGCTTGAACTCAAAATGTTTTACTATATTCTTTTTTACACAAACAGCATGTGACAAGACAAAGGCTTGATCGTAAATTGTAAGACGGGGATTAGGAAGTCTATGGAAGAAAACAATGGAAGATAAGGGTTATTTTAGTAAGTTTGTTCAGGTCCATGTCAGGGCGGACTCTGAGGATAAGAATGTTCTCTTCGTGGTATAGCAAGGGCACTTTTCTCATAGGAAATTTCATGGCCTACTCTTAGGTGGAAGGGAAGAAGGAATCAGCCTTTTCTGTATTCGCCGTTTCTCAAGCATTAGCTCAAAATAATCATAATAATGATGCAGTGATAGGCTGGGAATGTCTTAGTGGTACAGCGCTTCCTAGCATACGCAGGCCCTGGGTTTCTCATAAGAAAACTAAAGTGGTAAGTTTCGGGGTGGCATGTTCTAGACCCCTTCAATAGTCATAAAATTGTACACACTTCCTTCTGTTTCCAATCTACAGCAAAACCCCACTGCTTTGAGCTCCTCCCCCAAAGATCCAACACACAACTCTATAATGCCTTTCTAACACCCTCCACATAGTATGGGTTTGTTGTTCTTTGCAACAATACTCATTTCAGAGACAGTGAGTGTAAGAAGTTTCGTGAGAGCGGAAGCATGGGGAGGAAGAAGGGTTAAAGGAGAGGGACCCTTTAAGTTAGCTTGGAGTGGGATGAGGAAACGACCAAATCAAGAAAGTCTCCCCAAAGAAGGTAACACTTAAGATGAATCTGGAGAGACTGAGTCACATCGGTGTGGACAGCATTCCTAGCAGAGGCAGCAAGAAATGCAAAGGCAGGATTTTCATGAGCAAGGGAAATGTCCTGTTTGATACTAGGTTTTCCCATAATCTGTTTTTAGGGCTAGGAAATGTTCCATGGTAGATGGAAGCATTGAGAATAGTGGAAATCTGTATTTCACATAGCAGGAAAGCCCTGTTTCAGGTTGAGTTTGGAGGCACTCTTAACCTAGATTTTACTTTGCTTCCTTTTGATTCACAATTAACCAACTGCCTAGCCACTTGATGTCATCCATTCTTATCTGATGAGCCATCGAGTGATAACTGGACACATTTTTTTTTGTTTTTTGGTCGGTCATGGCCTGAACTCTGGGCCTGGGCGCTGTCCCTTGGCTCTTCAGCTCAAGGCTAGCGCTCTAGCACTTGAGCCAAAACACCACTTCCGGTTTGTTCTGCCTATGTGGTACTGAGGAATCGAACCCAGGGCCTCATGCATGCGAGGCAAGCACTTTACCACTGAGCCACCTTCCCAGGCCCAACACATGTATTTTTGTGTGTGTACTGATACTAGGTTTCACTCAGGGCCTGAGCACTGAGATAGACTGGCTCTCTATCCCTTGAGCCACAGCTCTACTTCTAGAGGTGGTTAATTAGTAAATTAATTAGTTAATTATTATTTTATTTTATTTATTTTATTATTATTTTTTTTTTGGTCCGGTCGTGGGGCCTGAACTCTGGGCCTGGGCACTGTCCCTCAGCTCTTCAGCTCAAGGCTAGCACTCTACCACTTGAGCCATAGCGCCACTTCCGGCTTTTTTCTTTTTGCTTATGTGGTGCTGGGGAATCGAACCCAGGGCCTCAGGCATGCAAGGCAAGTGCTCTACCACTGAGCCACCTTCCCAGCCCTAATTAGTTAATTAGTAAAAGTCTTTCCTACCTGGTCTGGCTTTGAACTATGATCCTCAGATCTCAGTATCTTGAGTAGCTAGGATTACAGGCCTGAGCCACTGGTGCCTGGCTAACATATATATATATTATTTATTTATTTTGCTGGTCCTGGGGCTTGAATTCAGGGCCTGGGAGCTGACCCTCAGTTCTTCAGCTCAAGACTAGCGCTCTACCACTTGAGCCACAACGCCACTTCTGGCTTTTTCTGCTTATGTGGTGCTGAGGAATCGACCCAACACCTCATATATGCAAAGCAAGCACTCTACCACTGAACCACCTTCCCAGTCCCTTGACAATTATATTTAAGACATCTATTTTATTGTTGCTACTCTGAGAGGGTGCATGGTCCAACCAGGGCTCCATAGAGGCTATGCCATGAAACCCCACTTATAGATGTTTGGTCCTGTCTGTGATGGGATTTTGACATAAAGCTTCACAGGCAACTCATTCAAAAGCTGCTGGTGACAGCGAGTCAGGTCTCGTGTTCACACTGGAAGGTAGACAGGCCATGAGCATGACGCTAAATAATGCCAGTTTCTTTGATCTGCAAAACAATGTGGCTCTCATGGCTTCTAGAACAGATAATAGAGCACAGGGTGAAAAACATTGCACTTAGGCTCAGTGACCTTGGGCTCATTTTTTTTCTCTTTCATTTTTTTAAAGTCATCATAAGATGAAAAGGGAAGGACTAGGTGGGCCTTTAAGTTTTAGAGTCTGTGGTCTTTACAATTTGCTGTAAAATTGGTGCAAGCCAGTGTTGTACTCTCCCTGTGTGAAGTTTCATCTAGTGGGGATCCTTTTCCTGGTGCAGGCTGATACATGATTCTGACTCTGTTCAAGCTGTCTACGGATCCCCACACTGCTGAGTCTGCAAAACCATCCACAATCTGCACAGATGAAGTGTGCAGGCTTCCCCACTGCAGCCAGTGGTTTGCAAATGACAGCCTGGGGGATTCTGCAGACCTTGTGGGTAATTGAAAGTTCACATTCCTCTGAAAGGATTGGAAACAGACTGATTAGAACTCATGCTTCCCGAGTTCTTATTGCTTGGCATCTCCAATACATGTTTAAGTACCCAAACTTGAGCACATTCATAGCATGTTAAAGGAAGGCCTGCCTCCCAGCTTCTGCAAAAATTGAATTTGTGTGCCTGTGTGCCTCTGTGTGTGAGTCCTGGGGCTTGAAGTCAGGGTTTGGGTACTGTCCCTAAGCTTTTTTTGCTCAAGGCTATCACTCTACCACTTCAGCCATAGCTCCACTTCCAGCTTTTTGATGGTTAATTGGAGATAAGAATCTCTGACTAGTCTTGGTTTGAACCGTTATCCTCATTTCTCAGCCTCCTGAG